CTTGCACATTTCTGTTTCCGAATCCATACTACCCACACAGTTATCTACGTAAAAGGATGTTTTCAAAATCTCTGTTGTATGTCTTAAGTTTTCAGAAACCACTCTTAATTTATATTATATTGTGGTGGCTAATAAATACGGACTTGCACGTAATGCCAAAAACTACCCTTGTATGCCGATACAGTTCAACTTGTTCCTGATGATCCCTACTGAACCGCATAAATACTAAAAAGTCTCGATCTTTCTCCTTTATAGAAATTTGCAAGAATACTTTTTCTATATCTGAAGTAACACCAACGTAGTTCTTGCGAAACCGATTAAGAATCAAGGGTATCATTTCAACAAAAATCGGTCCAGTAGGTAAACAATCGTTCGACGACGGGTAACCAGGCGAATGAGAACTTGCATTAAACACTGGTCTTATACTCTTACTGCTATTTTCTTTTACAACCGCTCTATGAGGCAAATAATGGATACCCTTATTATTATTTACGTGTTCCGCCCTAAGGCACCGTACGGAAAGGAAGGATGCCTTCGTGGAGGACTAGGGCAAACTGGCTCGTATTAACACGTTACACATGGGGAAAACGACCATGCAGTCAGCATTTTCATGGGATTCGAACCTTGAACCGAACTACCAGTGATCAGGGATCTCACAGCTCGGCCACTGGTGGGCTAATGGACACCTTTGAGTTTATTCTTATCCAATACTTTTTCAGTTATCCCATGTGCTAACAATTCCTTGAAAACGTCTTCCTAAGCTTCTGAGTTTCCCGTAGTCATTAATTTTCCTTTAGTACTTAGACATTTTTCTGCTATAATTTTGTTTTCGGGTAAAAAACGAGTTATCCGACACCCAAGTTAATGCAACTTCATACCTCCCATCTGAATTTACCGCAAGAGTCTCTTCAAAATATTTTAGAGTATCCTTCTGCAACTAGTTTTGGGGTTTACTTATAGAAGGTTCAGTAATACCTAAAACATCTAACTTCCGGAGATCACTAATACACTGATCATTCACTAACAGAAAAGAAATCACGAAAGATGCAGTTTTTAAAGCAGTTGTCTTGTCAGGACTCGTATGTCTTTAGACTTGTTTAGGGAATATGATGTGTCCTGAATAGGAACAGGGAGCTTACTCAAGCTATGTTCAAGTAAGTTTGGAATGGACGACACAAGCAGGAAGAGTTAACTTTACCCTTTATTCTCTAGAAGATTACAGGTGTTCCCGCACTTCGGAATACAGAGATGAACCACTTGTGGTCTGAACATAAAAATATAAAACTACTAACTAAAATTCTAATTGGAAGCAAACTTTGAATTAGTTTACAAATGCCTGACGCTAAGACTGGCCTTTTTGAAGATTATGTATGTAAATCATATAATTGAGTGATACTTGTTATGAAATTAACAGACAGAGTGATGGCTAATTGAATTTTGGACTTTATTAACAAAAAAAAGTAGAGAGAACTTATGTACGTCTTACTGTTTACATGACAAATTTTAGAATGACAAAAATAACAGTGACGCCAGATGCATAAAACAATGATGCCACTGAAACTGCACATAATATTAATTAAATGCTCGATTCTCAACAGCCTCCTTCGAGCATGAAAATAGTCATTGTTCATACAGATTAACCTTTACTTATTTGACTTTTTCACACCAATCAACTTCTTCTGGAAATGAAACTGAGGTGCTGGAAGCGCTTTTGTCAGAAAGTCTGCTCGTTGTTCATTACTTCTGACATAGCCTAATTGAAAACGTCCCTTCGAGAACTCATCTTGCACAAACTTGTACCTTTGGTCAATGTGCTTTGTGCGTGCATGGAACATTGGATTTTTTATGTACTTGATAGTACTCTGATTATCAATTTGTAAGATAGGCAATGAGACATTATTAGCTATCTCATTGAACAAGCTCTTCAACCATATCAGGTCTTTTGTAGCATCAGCTGCTGCCATGAACTCTGCCTCTGTCGTCGAATTGGATATGGCCTCCTGTAGCTTGCTCCGCCATGTAATGGCACCTCCACCATAGAAAGAAACAACACCTGTTCGAGACCTGCGTGTTTCTGCACAGCTGTTGTTATCTGCATCACTAAACAACATCAAACTTCTATCATCTTCATTATTGTACACAATGCCGTGTCCTATGGTATTGCGAAGGTACCTTAATGTTGTCTGTACGATTTCCCAATCAATCTCTGTAGGATTGTTCAGCTTTCGAGACATCAAACTCACTGCGTAAGCAATATCCGGTCGGGTCCCATCGCCAAGTACAGCAAACTGCCAACTACTGATCGGTATGGAATTTGACTGCTGAGAGGCTTCGCCTCCTTGATCTTGATCATGCCGTCGTCATTCGGTTGACCATAGTCGACCTTGAGACTCGACTTCTTTACTGGGATGTGTGATGTCTTAGCATCTCCATATCGCTCTAATATCTTTCTTGTAAATGCTTCTTGGTGCAGGAAGAGTGAGCCGTCTTTCAAACGTTCAACTTGTAGACCAAGGAAACAATTTAACGTCGTTACTCGAATGTTAAAATGTTGCTTGAGCTCGTCCATAAATGTGAAGAATGCTGCTTTGTCCTGAACAGCGACAATGCCATCATCAACATAAATCGCCATCAGCATCTTATGTCCATAATCATTTCGTATGAACAGGCAGTTGTCGGATTTACTTTGTATCATGCCATGTTTCTTCAGCACGTCAGTAAACTTGGCATTCCAACATCGTCCAGCTTGTTTCAAGCCGTATAAAGGTCGAAGCATCTTGCATACACGCTTACTTCCGTCGTTATAGCCTTCGGGTTGATACATGTAGATCTCCTCAGTTAGGTCACCGTAAAGGAATGCCGTCTCCACGTCAATTTGATATAAGTTGAGATTCTCCTTGGCTGCCGTTGCAATTAGAGCTCGAATAGTGTCATAGCGACACACCGGGCTAAATGTGTCTTCGTAGTCGATATTCACCGTCTGGGTGTACCCTTTTGCTACTAAACGGGCCTTGAATCTCTCGATTGAGCCATCGGGATTTGTCTTCACTCTGTAAACCCAGCGATTGTCGAGGATTTTACGTCCGTTAGGTGGCTCAACAAGTTGCCATGTTCCATGTTTGGCATGCGAAGTAATTTTTTCGTCCATGGTGTATTCGTCCATGGCGTCCAGTCGGCGTATTCAGGAGACTTCGTTGCTTCGTCATATGTTTTAGGCTCTTCCAACTTCAGAATGCTGTTGTACACGTCGTAGTCATTAAATCTGACAGGCCGTTGGATAGTTGAACGGTCTCGCAATGTACGCGCGGTCATCTGTGTTGGTTCATCTTCATCAGTGCACAGATCACCAGCCCCCTGTGTGTCTGCATCATCGTGTGCATCTTCCAAAATAAACTTCATACCGCTTGATAGACCGGTGTTAGATGCTAATTTTGAAGGTTGGGAAGTAGGGCCGATTTGCTGTTCATTGAACACTACATTGGCACTTTTTATCGTATCATTCCTTGATGGTATGAAAATGCGATACCCATCGTCATCACAATAACCAACCAAATAGCCCTTTATAGCCTTGTCATCTAATTTACCTCTGTTGACATTTGGTACATGTACAAATGCAGCTGATCCAAAAACTCGAATTCTGTTGATTGCCGGCTTGCGTCCAAACCATTCCTCAAACGGAGATTTTCCCGTAGTCTTACTTGGTCCGGTTCGATTGAGAACGTAGACAGCTGTAGATGCTGCTTCTTCTGCCCATAGGAACTGTGGTAGGCCTGAATCCTTGATCATAGTGCGAACTGCATTCATTATTGTACGATTCTCCTCTTTCAACCAATCCGTTTTGTTCTGGTGTATATGGCATAGTGATTCGCAGCTTGATGCCTGCATCATCAGTCAGTTTTCCCAATTTATCATTGTCAAATTCACGACCATCGTCTGTGACCAGTTCTTTTACATTTATACCATCTTTGTTGGTCCGAACAAGAAACTGCTTGATTTTATCCACAGCCTCATCTTTATGTCTCAGAAATTCTACATGTCGAAACTTAGAGTAATCGTCCTTAATCACTAACATGTACTTCTTTCCACCTCTTGATAAGACTGGCGATTCGAGTAAGTCTGCATGTATTATCTCACCAGACTTTTGTGTTTTGAATCGTTTTGGTTTAAATGTTCGTCGACTTTGTTTACCATACGCATATGGCTCACAAAATAGTCCATCGTCGATAAAATCTATACCATTTTGGCGCAAGTACTGTTTCACGTACTGTATTCCTTGATGCCCAAGTCGTCGATGCCAAAGTGATAATGGCAATTTTGTCGTCGTCTTCATTGCCGTCTCAGGAAAAGGAGTTGTCATTTCGTTGTCAACCAAGTAGGCTGCAGCAGCAGAACCCCCTTGTGGCTTGACTGGTTTTGCACGTAGTTCAAAGAGTCCATTTGATGAACATGGGGCTTCTAAAAGTATATTATCTGGGGTCTCCTTGCGAAAGAAACGACAAATCATATCGTCTGAATCACCAAAGTTCGAGATTCCTCGCTTCATTGCCTTTGAGGCTGATAACAAATTTTTGCCAATTTCTGGTGCGTACAGTACATCAGTGAGCTCAATAGATTTTTGTACGTTTCCAACCATCGCGCACATGTCAATGTCCCCACAGCCATATGCTGGTATTGTCTGTTTGTTACCGACTGTGATTTCTGCTTGTTTGTTAAAGTGACGGTACGTCTTGAAATACTCGGCTGAATTTGTAATGTGTGCTGTAGCTCCATCGTCTTTAAGCCACACATTTCGGCCACAATCATCTTCTTGACAAGCAAACGCACTGCATTGAGTATTTGCAAAGAAGGTTCTCTGTTTTGCCATTCGTCGTGGTTGGCATGTCAGGGAAAACTGGGCAAAATTTACCAATGTGCCCGGGTTTATTACAACGAAAACAGATGCCATTGAAACCTTTCACACCATCACTGGTCTTACTAAGTCGTTGTGACATTATTTGTTGTCAAGGATTGGGATTGGCTGACCATCTGAGGTTTTTTACCACCCTCTTCTTCCATTTCTTTCCACTATGTTTTGCGCTATAATTAGCATTTGCCACAAATGTTATCGTACTTTCGTTTCTAAGCTCTTGATTTCTTCTTTTGCATTGCAGCCGCATGTTGATCTGTTCGATCATCAGTTTTTCAGGTGACTTTTCCGTCTTTGGCATTGAGTCCCACTGTGATTTGAACTCTATATATTCGTCATCAGGAAGAATAGATAAGATTCGCGGTGCTAGCAGGTTCTGCGGCAACTTTCCTTCACCGCTCAACTCTTGCTCACGTTGAAGATCCACCCACAGTGTACGTAAACGTGCGAGTGATTGCATTACACTTTCGTCTTTCTCGATCCGAAAAGTGAAAAACTGTTGCAGAAGAGTGTCCAATTTCACGCTTGACACCTTCTCAAAATTACTTAATAACTCATTCCATATCGCTAGTGCAGAATTACCATGCATACGGATCAAATTTAACACATTCGGTGATACATTTGTGCGAATGATCACAGCAGCTTTCGCATTCGCCTTTGCATACGCTTTTGCGGCTTCGTTGTACTCGCGTATCGTTTTTTCATTCGCGCTTTCTGCCGGAGCTTTTGGCTCGATAAGGGAATTATCGAAGATGCCCGCACAATCGTTGAGCACAAATAAAGAGTTTATTTCAAATTTCCAATCAGTCCAGTTGGATAAACCTTCCAATTTGGTACACTGAACAAAATTTTTAGCTTCCATATTACGTCGTTATTAACCAGGAAATATGCAGCAAAAAAAAAAAAAAAAGACGGTACACTGTTAGCGTTACCTTAATGTTGAATTAATAACGAATTAAAACGTTGTAAATTCGTTTACGGCCGTTTCGCCAAGCAAAATCTCGCCCAACATACAATATATCATAAAAAATGTTAATTCTAAGAATTTTTTTATTTTTTTATTTTTAGGCATAACATTTTAATTGGTTTTAAAATTTGTAAAAAGTAAAAAGACATTAATTTAAGAATTTACTATGATTTCATGTTTCAACATCCTGATTCGCCAAGTGGCCCCAAGTTCACGTAGCCCCAACTGATCACATCTCAAGTAAACTACGCTACAAAAATCTAATTCTCTTAGTAATTATTTACATTAATTTCAAGTAAAATCTTAGTTTGGAATACAAGTTTAAATGCAAGAATTATTTCAATTTGCACGAATAGCTTACTCGGAAATTATCTAAAACCACAGTGCTTTACTTTGCTAGTACATTCTCATCAGAATTGATGAATTTAACCTTTGACTGTGCATTTTCTATATTTTCGCGTTCGGATGAGCGGTGTGATTGCATCCTAATTGACTTAATTACCGTGAATGTCTTAGGGATAAAATTTAAATATCATGTAAATTCTATTATTGTAGGCAGTATTGAAAGAAACCTGATAAGAAATACTTGTTTGAGGTGTAAAAGGTTACCAGCGAAGATATTCCGTCTGGCATCAGTTAAACCATTATTGGCGACTTTATCGTTTGTGCCGGCAAAACGGAAAAGTACCAAATCCGTGAGTCAAATACGTCAACATAGCCATCGCTACTTTATTTATAACCCATAACTTGTTATAAAATTAACAAACAAAGTAATGGCTAATTTAACTTTTGGACTTTATTAACAAAAAAGGTAAAGAGAACTTACGTACGTCTTGTTGTTTACATGACAACTTTTAGAATGACAGAAACAACAGTGATGCCAAATGCATAAAACATAATAATGCAACAAAACAATGATGCCAAAACATCAATTAATTGCTCGATTCTCAACAATCCGTTTTGCTAAAGCTTTCGTGCAGTTCTCGCGTTGTTACACCTAATGCAACCAGTTTTTCGCAGGAACATTCTAGGGCTTCTTCGGAGATCATTCGATTTCCATTTTCCAGAAATTGGCAGTAAACCCTCTTAAATACGATTTCGGTTTGATAGCATTGCAAATTAATTTGTAATTGTCCAGTGAAAATTAAAGAAATTATAGCACTACTTAAGTGCACTGTAATTTCGTGATTACTAGAAAAATAACGCTTTAAGTCACCGTAGCTAACCTACATTGTAAAGCAGAAGCGAAAGCAAACTTCATGCATGCTAACGATATCGTTTACAGCTAAACCAACACCGAAAGAAAGTCAATCCGGCCTAATTAAAGAGTTCAGTTTTCGATTTCTGTCAATAGATGTCAGCACGAGTCTAAGTGCAGCCAAAGAGAGTTCAGTTTTATCATCGTCTGTAGAAGTAACTTCGACAAAAAAATTTAATTCATATCGGAAAATATTTTTATTAAATTCATTGCTACACTTACGTAAACAGAACACGTTTAGAAAAAATCTTTCTACTTTTGATAAAATTTTATAATTTTTATTTATTTTGAATGATACTATCAAAGGCGGCGCCGGCCAACAAATTTAATAAAAGGGCCTTTCAAGATCAGCTTTTCATTTTCCTTCAATGAAACTGGAATTAGAAATGAATCAACATTTTTAATAATTAAATTATATTTTGATCAAAATTATATAATTAAAAATTAATTAAACATGTATGCTTAAAATTAATTAAAAAATTACCTTTTTAACATCTGATTTTTTTTTTACAAGTTAGATAAATGAAAGTAGAAATCACTTATTTTAAGTCAAATATACATAATTTTCGACTGCTATTAATGTCAAGTATCAGAATTCTTTCTTGTGACATACTCGTACGCAAATAAGTCGCAATTAATTTTAGTTTGGAAATGATCTTTCACCACTAGAAACAGCAACAGACAAAATCAGTATTTTTAGATTTTTTTTTCCCCTTCTTCTCCAAGCTGTCAGTTTTCCCTTCGACTTTCTTTATCAATTTCTGATGAATTTTGCAGGAAAGTAAAATTACCATAGTGCAATTTTAGTGGTTAAAAACATACATTTAAGGATCTCCATGCAATATCTAAAAACATATAAAATCCATGATTTTAAATTTG